CGGGCGGGCTGTGCCAAGCCTGCCTGATGCCTGCCGCCTGCCGCCTCGTCTGCGAGCCTGCAGCCCACGGACTCGGGCGGCGGCGGCGAGGGGGAGGGACCCTGGCCAGCCTAGGCCTCTCGTCGGGCTGCCAGCTTCTGCCTCCCTGCCTGATGAGCCCAAATTTTGACTGGCCAGCGCCTGCCACAGACCAACACACCGTACCGTCCATCTGGCCGCCGGTTGGCCTCCCTACCCTCTTGCTTCCCACTCCCACCTTTTTACCGCCAGCCTCGCGCCCTCCGTTACGTTGCTCCTCGAGGCTCGCCGCTGCCACCGCCGCAGCCTTCGTTCCGTACAACCGCGCAGACCGGCACCTTCGCTGCATTTGTTCCCATCGCTGTCTAGATTGTCGCCCACCACCACCACTGACGGCAACCTCGCCGCACTCGACCATGGCCGTGACCCTTGCACGGCAGCATACCCGACCCCCGGCACATCGGATACCCAGCTGCCGGGGCCCTGCGCTCACATCTGCAGCATCGCCACTGCCATCGCCACCACCGTCATCATCACCTTCACCACCACCACCACCACCACCACCACCAGCAGCAGCAGCGACGATGACGACCCGCCGCCGCTTGCCCCGCCAACATAGCTCTCTCTTCCCACCGATACCCGGGCCAACCGCCAAACTGTTAGCGCTCGCCTACCTCTGCCTCCTGCCCTGGTCCAGCGCACAGCAGGCTACGCAGCCCCCCACCTCGCCCAGCGCTTCATCCTCGGCCACCTCGTCACAGACGCCCACCAGCACCACGCTATCGCCGGCCACGGCGACCCCCGTCGCGCTCAACGACTCGTCCGTCGTGCGCGCGCGCCTCAACCTCAATGCCACCACCGGCGCCTTTTTCAACTTCACCATCCCCGCATCCGCCTACGCCTCCGACGACACCGTACGCACCTGGGTTTCGCTCTCCCTCTGCGACGGCCCCGACATCCCCCCCTACAACCTCACCGAAAACACAAAGCCCACCAAGAAGCTCCTCAAGAGCCTCGGGATGAGTGCGGATGAAGCCCGGGCCTCGACAAACGTCGCCATCTACGCCTCGTCGGACCCAGACACCCAGCGGCCTGGGCCCGACAGCTCCGGCCTGCCAGCGAGCTGGAAGAGCTATGCCGTCGGCGGCTGGGCCTCGCTCCAGCTCGACGTTCGTCAGAGAGAGGACGACAAGGACCAGCCCATCTGGCTCGGAGTATGGCCACCCGTCGACACCCGCAACCAGACCACCGGCGTATACGAGATGCAGCTCGTCGCCAGCACGATCGGTGAGTAGGCTCCCGATCCTCCTCCCCTCTTTCCGCGCCCCGACTCTCGTCGCTTGCTTGGCCCCGTGGAAAGCTGAGGCACTCGACGCTTACCCCTCGCTCGCCGCCCCCCTTCCGCCTTGGCGTTGCGGCACTCGACGCCTACTCTCCGCACGCCTCCCCCCCTTCCGCCTTGCCCTTCTCCCGCATCACCGCCCCGACCGCCCCGACAGCCCAGCTAGAGGCGGTCGACGATTCGCTGCGCGGACGGCTCGACGACACCGACACAACCAACGCAATGTTCCTCTCCTCGCCCTATACCACCAAGCCGGCGCCCAACCTCACGGCCATCGTGCTGCCCTCGGCGGGCAGGTACTCGCTCGCCACGGTCTCGCACTTCAACTCGTCGTTCTGCGCCATCCAGGACGCCTGGGGTGCGCTCCAGCGCAGCCCCAGCCGCGTCACGGTCAAGACGTCCGAGACGGAGCGCTTCACGGCGTACAACAACGTCACCGACGACTTCCGCACCCAGTTCCTCGTCAGCGGGCTGCAGCCGGGCACCAACTACACGACCTGGCTCGTCCAGACCGAGGCCATCAACAACGACCCGGCGCGCGGCCTCACCTACACCCTCTACCCGTCGTTCAAGATGCAGACCAAGCGCAACGACTTCTGCCGGCTGGTCTACGACGTCGACTTCTGCCCCAACGTCGCCTACTCGATCCCCGTCAGCCCGGACGTGTCGACCGAGTCGGCGCTCGCCACCATCAACCGCACCGTGGCGCCCAACTACTCCAACTTTAGCGCGCTCGTCGACACGTTCCCCTGCGGAGACTCGCTGTTTGGCATGTACTCGTACGTGCAGAGCTGCGACACGTGCAAGAGCTCGTACCTCGACTGGCTGTGCGCGGTGACGATGCCGAGGTGCACCGACAGCCTGTCGGATCCGCAGACGCAGTCGCGTGCCAGCCAGGACGGCCGCAGCCTGACGGGCGCGCCGACGGGCGAAAACGTGGACCTGCTGCCCTACGTCGTCAACCGCAACGCCACAAACTCGAAGCGCAGCTACATTGGCGACGAGCTGGGCGCCGGCAGCTACGGCGAGGTGCTGCCGTGCATCTACAACTGCTACTACGTCGAGCGGACCTGCCCGCCGATCCTGGGCTGGACGTGCCCGGCGTGGGACGTGACGGCGCAGCGCGACTACGGCACCTTTGCCGACAGCGGCGACGAGGGGATTGGCGCCGGCATGAATGGCGGCGCCGGGCTCGACGGCTCGCGGTTCGGCGGACCGGAGCGTTATGTGTCGGTCGACGGTTTCGGCAACGCCTTTTGCAATGCGCTCGGCGTCGACATCCGCCTGCGCGAGTCGAACTCGGCCCGCACGACGGCCGCAGCAGCAGCCAGCCGACGGTCGTTGCTGCTGCTCTCGACGCTGGTCGTCGTCATCCTGGCCGCCTTCTAGGTCGGTCTGGCGCGGATTGTCCCGGTCGGCACTGCACCTGTTGTAGCGCCTCTCTCTCGTCCCTCTTTCTCTTGTGCTCCCTCTCTGTCCCTCTTCTCTCCCCCTCCTTGGCCTCCCTGCCCCTGTAGCATCTCTTGCCCACCCTGTCACCGGCTCAGCATATCCGCACTCGATCCACCGCATTCCGACGTCCACTGCCTCGGCCAGCATACGAACCTAGACCCACGGACAATCACGCCTCTGCTCTGGGTCGATGGGCTTCCCGAGCCGCCTCTCGAATGTGTCTGCGCCAAATGCGTCGTTGCAGGCGTGTCCGCCCGCTGATGTGACGGGCAAGGGTGAGGATAGGCGGCGCCGGTGGCGTGCAAAGGGTCGAGATCGGGTGGGGAGGTCAGCGCGAGAGCCCCGCCGATTCGGGCCGATGAGGTTGTGTGGCCCGGCCTCGCCTGCCAGGTCCAAGATCGGTGCCGCCTTGCCTGCCCACCAGCCAGGCAGGGGGCCGCGGTGATCGGCGACGCGTTACCAGGCACAGGCCGGCCTACAGGCAAGGCGCAGCCTGGCTGGCCGGCAGCCTGGCGGGCCTGCAGGGCGAAAAAAAATCCTCGCGGCGCAGGCCCCCGTTGGCTGTGGTTGGCTGGGCAGGCGGCGAATTTCGAGATGCAGGCGACTTCTTATCGCGCGAGACAGGCCGGGTTGTATTGGAAGCGGGCTGCACTTTCGAAAATTGTATTCGTGGCCACCTCCTGGGCTCAAAGGGCCCGGGTTTTGGCGGCGGGCGGGCCTGAGAGCGAGCGGGCTGGCTGGCCTCGGCCCTGACCCTGGCCCTGGCCCTCCCTGCCTGGCCCTGGCTGGCTACCTAGATGGCTGGCTGGCTGGGCGGCCGGCAAGCTGAGGCTGGCCGTGGGTAGGTGGGTGGGTGGGTGGCCTGTCCTTCTGACGCTGCTTGGCTTGTCTGCCTGGCTGGGCCTGGCTGGGCCTGGCTGGGCCTGGTGGCTGGGCCTTTGCTCGCCGCCTGCCCACTTGCTCGACCCGGCCGGCGCCTCCTGCCCGACCCGTTCCTTCATCCGTCCCTTCGCTCCCGATCCTTCGGACACCCCATCTCATCGTTACCAACACCGCACCCACCATCATCACCACCAATAACACCATCACCGCCGTCGCCCTGATCTGGACCGGCGCATTCATCTGCTCGCCGCTTCCTTCGACGTCGAGACAGAGCCGACAGCTTCCACCTCGTCTCGGCTGGCCTGGCTCTGGTCGACGTCGCCCGTCCTTGCATCCCGCCGACTCCCACCGTCTTCACCTTTGAGGTCACACTCACTCGCCTCGCGTGCAGCATCGTCCTCAGCTGCCACAGTTCTGGCTCTCGGGTGCTCAGCTCCGCAGCCGCCACTCTGCCCTGACTTCGAGCTTGACGCCGCTTTGCTCTGCCTTCCCTGTCTCGACTTGACCCGCAGCCCCGCCCGACCCTCCATCGGCGTCGACTGCGACACCTCGAGCTGCCGCTCCGCACGACCTCTGTCCACCATCCCGACGACGGTGACAAGGGCAGCAAAGTGCAGGGCCCACACGGGAGGCGTAGACGAGAAGCGGAACAGAGGAAGCGGTCTCTCTCTCGGAGATAGGAGGCGGACGACGGACTCATTCATCTGCGTGTTGGCCCTCCTGCACGAGTCCCACGCCTCTCGAAGACCTTTGCCGTGCTAGCCAGCCCGGTTGACTGGCTCGACCCGCGCAGAACCCTTCGCCCCGACGCCCGACATTGCGTTGGCCGAGTCCGACCCCTCACCCGTCCTTGACCAGCGACCAACCACTCCAGTCGCCACCGACCTCCGACCTGTCCCCGCACCGATCGCCTCCTACGGGCTATCGATCTGAACGACAGTCATGGCCAGGTCCAAGGTCCCGCCACGGACCAGCTCAGCACCGCCACCCAAGCTTGCCGCAGCGGCAGCAGCCGCCGCCGCCCAACAGCAGCAGCAGCAGCAGCAGGCCATCCGACAGCAGCAGCAGCAGCAGCAGCCGACGCATGCCTCTACCCCGCCGCGTGCCACCTCTCCTTCGCTGGCGCACGACGGCGAGAGCGTGACGTCTTCCTCGAAAAAGAAGAAGAAGAAGTCCAAGGCCAAGGCGAGAGACGCCGACCTCGTCGCTCAGGGCTACGACATCGACGACCGCCTCGGCCCACGACCGACATCGCCCTCGGCCATCTCTGCGACGGCGCAGGCCCAGGCAGACCTGCTCGCCACCGCTAGCGACCTGTACCGCCGCATCGAGGCCGACCCGCACGGCATCCCTGACGACGACGCCTACTGGACCTCTCTGCCGGCCCATCTGCGCACTTTTATCCGGAATGCGCTGCCGCTCGGCCAGTTCCCGCCCTCGGCGCAGGCGGCGCTCAACGGCAACCCAAACGACCCCAACGCGCGTCACGCCTCGACCCAGGCCATGATTGCTGTGGCGCAGCAGCTGGCCCAGGCCGCCCACGCGTCGCAGAGGCACTTGCAGCAGTTTCCGCCGGGCACCCACCCGTACCCGCCGCTGCCGTTTGACCCGTCCATCTTTGCCGACCTGGCGCTGCATCCCGACCAGCCGCTGCCCTTGCACCCGCACCCCAATTCGGGCGTCAACATGGGCTCGATGCCCAACGGCAACCACGCCGCCTACGCGCACGGCCACGTCCAGTACACGACCAGCTCCAACCCGCCGCCGACCCAGCCCCCGGGCGAGCCGCTGCCCGCGCCCGTCGTGCTCGTCAACGAGTATGGCGAAGAGGCCGGCGACTACGACGACGAGTACTACAGCGAAGACGAGCTGGACCACGACGGCGCCGTCATCGACCACCGCGGCCGGGTGATCCAGACGGCCAACGGCATGTGGATGCAGGACGACGTGGACCGCATGGACGGACACCACGATCGGACGCTCGCAGCGCCCGCCGGCACCGGCACCACGACGTCGAAGAGCAAGAAGAAGAAGAAGAAGAAGAAGGGGGCGGCCTCGGCCAATCAGACCGCGGCCGACCTGGCCACCGGCCAGCCGTACGATGCAGCGGCGCACACGCACGCGGCGGCCAAGCAGCCTCAGCCTCCGTCTGCCACCGTCCCACCCAACGCCAGCGGCAAGACAGCGTCGAGCCAGCCCCCGCCGAGTTCGCGGGCAGCGGGCAAGCAGCCGATGACGTTCAACTCGAGCGGCAAGGCTCCTGCCAGGCCGGCCAACGGCGTGCCGCCTCCGCCGTCCTCGAAC